CGAATTTTATATCGAGTGTACCTATCATAGCTTCGAATGTGGAGGTGCCACTGGTTGTTGCAGTGTGACCGTCCGCCATCCGGACTGTGTTTGTTGGTCCGTGAGGAGGTGTTCTGCCGTATTTACGGGCTACTGTCGGGTTTACGTACGATTTTTGCGCCTGTGAATCTAATAGGGCTGTTACGAAACCTGACGGAAATTCGAGTTCGACTGCGCCCAATTTTTTCTGGGCGTGTTCGTATACCATTATTAGTCGTATTTCAATCTGGTTAGCGGGACAACTGGTTCTGAACCACGACGGTGACTGTCTGGTCGTCGGTGTTTACCGCCATGACCATACTGTCAACATCGGTTGCCTCATTGCTCGCCTGTTGCTTTACGTGCGCAGACTGACCTAATGCGGGGAAATGCGGGGTGTGTGCGCTTGTGTCCCGGTCACCTGTGTTGGTGAACACGGGTTCCCGTGTCTCTGTTGCCTTTGTCCCTACACCTGTGGCTGCCCCATGAGCCGGTTGTTGTTGAACACACGTGTCACCGGAGATGTGAGTGTGTTCTTTGGTGGGGTGGTGTAGGTTGGGGGTCAGTGAAGGGGTGCCGATTGGTGATGAGACGGAAAAAATGTTCGTAGTTGGTTTTTCTGTTTGTTGAATTACCAAACTACGCGCTTTTCGATTACGTGTTTTTTTTCCGTGTGTACTACCGTTAATAGGTGGTGATGGGTGGGGGGGGGGGGGGGGGGGGTGATGAGTCGATGGGGGGACTAGTCCCCGTCGACTCCCCCGCCGTTTCCCGACGTGGTCGGTCTATTTGGACACTTGTTGTTCCAATGGAGTTCCCCACAATATCTGCACGGCCCCGGTGGTTTATTATCCATTGGTTTTTTTAAACATTTTGTTTTGACCGGGGGGCTGTTTGTGGGGTCTCCTCCCCTTTGATGGGTTTAGGGGCCCATTGTTGGGGGGTCGGGTTGGTGCTGTCCGTTACCGGGTCCAAGACGCCTGCGATGCGTCGTAGCTCGTTGAACGTCAATGGCCGTTGTAGACGGATGTGTGTTCGGAAAGTGTCGCGCGTTAATCCTGCTATAATACCTACCAATTCCGACTCGGATAGGCCGGTATTTACGCCGCGCGCTTGATGGTTTTTAACTAGCACGAATTCCGTTAGCAACTGTCAGGGCGTTTGTCGTGTTGACACGATGTCGGCGCGTAGTTGGGATTGAATTTCAGTGTTGTTGTAATTTTCTAAGAACTCAACCCAGAACTCTTCCCAGGTTAGGTCGAGTACTTTTATGGATGCGTACCATACACTCGCCGTTCCTTTTAACTGCGGCTCGACCGCCCTACACCAGCCCGAGGGGTGTATACCAGCTTGCACCAGAATCTATTCGGTATTATTAATGTACCGTACGGGGTCCTCGGCCCTTGTTCCAGTGAACTCGGGTAACGAAGCCCTTGCTGTACGCAAGTCCTCGTACGGTATTAGTACTGAACGTGCTTCGTACGGCGCGTATTGTGACGCGCGTGTGGTGTGACCCGTATAGTCATTAGTTTCGCGCGCGAAGAAAGGTCGGTTGTTCGCGTCGGCAATGTGGCTGGCGCTGTGTTGAGCGCCGCCGTCATTGAACTCATATGACCTACCCGACTGGTAATTGTCGTGTGTACGGTTTGTTATCTGTACCGGTGACGGGTGGTTGTCTAACCGCGGGGCCGCTACACTGTTCGGCGGTTGGGCGGTTGCCTGGCGCGATTCTATGAAGAACCGCGTCATGCTCGCTTCCAGTGCCCCTGTTGGGTCGTTCGTTTGTGGCAACATTAATTTTAACTGATGTAGCTGTTTCGCCGTACTTTCGAAAATGTCGGTTTTTAAAGGTTGTGCGGACTGGCCCTGCTGCATGGTCGACTGGAAGCCGCAGATTTCTGACCGGTTGTCCGTGGGTTTTTGACTTGCTGTTGGGCTTGTCAAAATTCCCCCGGACGGTTGTCCAATAATCTGGCTGGCGTTCGTGTTTTCCAGCGCTGATGTCGTGGGTTGTTGTTGTTCAGTACTGCCCTGTAATCCTGAGATTAGGGGCTACACTGTTTCAAACCTCACATTCTCGGGGACTAGTCCGCTTACCCTAAGGTGCTCCTCTAGCCTGACGTACACATCTGGCTTCGACCCGGATGCGCTGAGTCCGCGGGCCGTGCACTCGCTACGTAGCTCCGCCGACGACAATTGTTGTAACGTTTTTTCCGACATTGTGTAAAATTATTTACCAATGTGGTTGTTATGCTGTTGTACGTTCGGTGGCGTGTGCTTGTTGCGAGGTGTACGCGGTTTTGAGGAGGCTTTTTGGTTTTTTTTTTTTTTTTGGTAAATTTCGCGCGCTAGCTACGACAATTTATATATTTATTATTTATGATTGTGTAACAGATCAGCTGACGACGGTGCCGCCGTTGTGTACCAAAAATAGTGGTACTGGGTCAACGACCTCGGCGGTGGCAGCTGTCGGCTGCGGCGGCTGAACCGGTTTTTGGCCTGCGCGCTCTGTTTTTATCGGCGATAATGTCGCGGTGCGAAAGGTTGGCGTTGCGGAGGGGTGGTGGTTGTTATATATCTACTTCCCAATCCGTATCACGGTTATGCTCGGTTGCGTGGAATTCCCTGTTACGTACTAGAAATAGTTGTTACGTAATGTTCTCTATGGAGTCCTAGCTAACCGGCAAACACACTCCTGGTCGAATAACTTATTACTAATTTAATATAATCCAGTGGTAACACCCTATAACCCTCTATACTTATAAGCTAATTTTTTTGATTTATTTGCTTCTTGAAATTGAAATTTTATTAGCACTTTTTGCCCTGGCAGGAAGTTGACAGTCTTATTGGATCTGTAATAATTTAATTTTTGAATCTGTTGTTCTTTTTGTATAATACTTGGTATTTCTTTTCTGATTTCTTGTAATTTTTCCAATGATTTAATTTGGCTATAACAATTGTCATTATCTGGTATGATCAGATGATCTTATTATCTAATGGTTGGTTGGCTTCCATGCCATGCAGCAGAAAGAAATGACTTATTTTAAGTCTTGAGCTTGGGCAGGTGTTATACGCAAAAACTACCAATTTATAATATAACACCCAGTCTTTTTGGTTCTTATTGACATAATGTGTTAAGCTGTTACATATTATCTTATTCATTAATTCTGTCATACCATTTGTCTGCGGGTGATAGGCACTAGAGAATGTTTGTGTCATGCCTAGATTTTTGCATGCATCTTCTACTTCTTTATTTTTAAAACGAGTTCCCCTATCACTACAGAAATATTTTGGCACTCCGTATGACGTTACTATGTCCATTAGAAAATGTATCGTTTCTGCCCCTGTTGAATTTGCCACCGCTTTTTGTAGCATTAAATGTAGCTACAATCAAATATTTTTTTCCCATGTGAGGGAGGTAATGATCCTAAATAATCAAAAGTTAATCTTTGTAATGGCTCCCCCGACTCTATTGGTATTGGTTGTAATAAACCGGGTTTCTTTCCTATTGGTGTTTTTAAAAGTTGACATGATATGCAGGAATTAATAAATTTTGTAGTGTCCTACAAAATATATACAATGTTTTAATTTTGCAATCGTTTTCGTTATACCAAAATGTCCACTAAAAATAGATTCATGGTATGATTTTAGTACCGTATTGACTAACTCTTTTGCAATGACTATTAGGTTAATTAATGTGTTTTTATTCCATTGTTTGTAAAATAATATGTTGTTTCTTTCACAATATCTCCGTGACTTTCTAATAAATTTTCTTTCACCTATCCCTTTAAGTGCTCTTAAAATATTTGAACAAAATTCATCTTTTGCTTGTTGTGTTTCTAAGATCTCTATATATTTTATACCTTCATTTGTATTTTTTTTCTCTATTTCGGTCAAATTTATTGGAAACCTAGATAGACTGTCTGCTGCTAGATTTGCTGAACCTGCTTTATGTTTTATTATAAAATCATATTCAATTAACTTAAATATACTCTTAGTTATTCTAGATGATGGATTTTTCATTGTTTTAAAATATTGCAAGCTCGAGTGATCACTATACACTATAAACTCCCTTCCTAGAGATATTCTCTAAAATAATTTATCACAAAAACTACTGCAGCCATTTCTAATTCTGTGGTTGAATAATTTTTTTTCCCTCCTTTCAATTTCCTAGATGTGTAACCTATAGGATGTTTTTTTCCATTTTCGTCCTATTGTTCTAATATTCCTCCTAGTCATTCCAATGAAGCATCCGTTGTAATATAAATTGCTCAACCTTCCTTAAAATGTGCTAATACTGGTGCTGTAATTATTGCCTGTTTTAAAAATTCAAAAGCTATTTCTTGTTCCTTTCCCCATTTAAATCCGATATCCTTTTTAGTAATTTCTGTAAGTGGGTTTGCTATTTTTGAAAATTTGTTTATGTATTTCCTATAGTATGAACATAATCCAATGAAAGCTCTGACATCTTTGATTTTGTTTGGTTTAGGAAATTTTTTTACAGCTGCTATATTTCTTTCTAATGGTTTTAAACCGTATTCTGATATTTTATGACCTAGCAACTCTCTTTCTGATTGAAAAAAAAATTATTTATTTGTTTTCAATTTTAACCCTTATTTACGTCTAATCTAATGAACATTTTTTCTAAATTACATAGTGCCTTTTCAAACTCATCTGCCAAACAACATATGTCGTATAAATAAGCTACTATTGATCTATACAAATAATCACTAAAAATGTTATTAATTGTTCTTTGGAAAATTGGTGCCGAATTTTTCCACCCTTGTGGTATTCGTTTAAATTGAAATAATCCAAAATCCGTAGTGAATGCTAATTTTGCACGGTCCTCTTTCCTTACCGGAATTTGAAAATAACCCTGGGCCATGTCAACCGTAGAAAAATATTTAGCTCCTTCTAATGCTCTAAATATTTCTTGTGCACGAGGAATAGGGTGTCTATCGTTTATCGTTTGTTCATTGAGTTTAATAAAATCCACTAAGAAACGATTCTCCTTTCTGTTTTTTAGGTATAATAAATACTGGCGCTGCATAACTGCTCTTACTGGGTTCTATAATATCTGCTCTTGTCATTTCATCAATTATGTTTTTCAATTTTTCTCTTTGTTTTGGAGAAACTCTATATGGTGCTTGGAAAACCGTGTCCTTTGAGTCTAAATTAACCTCACACTCTTCCACTTTGGCACAATTTAATTCCAATTGTTCAGAAGTAAACAAATATTGGTATTTACTTATTAATAGTGTTGCCTTCTCTCTCTGTTTATTAGTTAAGTCATTTGAAATTTTAATGACCGTACCTTGTCTGTCGGTGATGTCTTTACTTGTTTCATTAATTATTAATAAACTATCTTTCTTTTTATATTCTATTGTTCCTATTATGGTGCCTTCATATATTCTTGTATATAGATTTGAAAAATTGTACACCTGAATTTCTTCAATGTTTTTGTCTACAATATTTTTTTCCAATTTTAAATATTGGTTTTGGCTTAAACGGTCCACTGGATGTATAGTTAATTGTTTATTTATTGTCCCCATATAAGTTTTAAATTTTATGTTAGCTATTGTTTTCGGTGGTATTACGGTATCCTCTTTTCCTATTATTTTATCTATAATGTATTCCCTTGTCATATTTGTTTCAATCGCACTTTTATATATCGCTTCAAGTGTTCCATTATGTTCTACCCAACTCTTATCCATTTCTATACTCCCTCCCGTCCTAAATTGTATTTCTTTTTTTTCAAAATCAATGACTAGACCATATTTTAAATAAAAATTGTTACCCAATAAAATTTCACAAGTTAAGTGTTTAATTACATAAGCTGTAATTTCATATTTTCTACCTTGTATTTTTATTGTTAACTGTATTGTTCCCATGTTTTCCAATTCAGAGTTATTTTCACCAGTGATAATCGTTTGTTCTTCTGGAGTGATTTTCTATTTATCTTTAACTAATGAATATTCTATACATGAAATATTAGCTCCTGTATCTATTATTGCCTGTTTCATTTTGTCTTTGAATTTTACTTCTATTGATAAAACTCTGTTTTTTCTCTTAATGTCATTATTTAATTTAATCGTTCTATTTTTATACCATTGTCTTAAAAAAATAAATATTATTCTTTTTCTTCGTTGATTATATCTGTTACTTCGCTATCTTTATTATTTTCCCGAGTTAAGCGTCCGATTTTTTCTCTTAACCAGGTCGTTCCTAGTTTTTTGTATTTGTACACTTATCAGCATAGTGACCTTTTTCATTACACCTATAGCATGTAACTCTTTCGGATTCTTTATTATAGCGATCTCCCCTGTATCTTTCTGGTGTTTTCTCTCGACTATGTTCTCTGCTGTATTGATGCCTGTAGTTGTAATTGTAATTTCCATTATTGTCTCGATCTCTTGAATGTGATCTGTTTCTATAGCCTCTACCGTTGACTGTATTTAAGTTAGCTTCTCTATTACGTGAGTTATCTCTATATTCGTAATTATTTGAATCATATCTATGGCTTGGATTTCTTTCGTAATCTTGATATGAATTAGTCTCGTTTTGTATTTTGTTGTAATATTGTCTCTCTCTGGACTGTGATCTGTCTCTACCATATTGTCTATTTCTGCTAGATTCTCTACTTCTGTCATTAAATCTTCCTGGGTATGGACTTTTATCTCTGTATTCACGCTGTCGTCCTCGATAATTTGTTTTTCTATTATAACTTCTGCTCCTATCTTCATTATAGCTATAATTTTTATTATTATATCGATTATCTATTTCTTCATCATCAAAGTTTACCGACCCTAAAGCAAAGTGTTTTGAAGGAATCATGAGCTTGACACTTCCTCCCCCTTCAGATGTAGATTGAAATCCTGAATTTTGTGTGGGACCATTTCCATCAACAGCATAATTCTCATATAACCTTTTACTGTACTTGCTCTTCCTACAAACTCAATTTCATCTATAATTTTATTATTTAATTTAATTGAAATTTTTTGAAACAAAAATGGCCCACCATTATTAGATATCATATTAGATTTTGCTGGATATTTAGCACCATCGTCTTGTACATATTCAAATGATAAATAAAGTTTTGAATTTTTAATATTCAGAAATTTATCTTTACCATCTACTATAACTATTGTATTTCGGTTAGGTTTATTTATTTCTGTTGTAATTTGAGGTATATAACTTACATATTGGCTATTTATTATACAATCATCATACTTAATTAAAATATTTTCCATTTCTTATTTATATTACCAAATATGTATTTTTTTTTTAAATAAATGGATAAAGTAATAATACAATTTTTTATTGAAGATGAAAATAAAAAACAATCATTATTTGAATTACCTTCACGTGTTTTAATTACCTGTAGGACCATCTGGTTGTGGTAAAACAACCTTGTTGAATAATCTGATTATAAATTATTGGATTCCTTATTTAAATCTATATATTTTTTAGGGATGGGCCGATATCACTTTTAACCGATAACCGATAATCCGATATATTCAAAACTTTGAATTTTTATCCAAACGCATGAACCGATATCATAAAATACCTACCGATAACCGATAATGCTTACCGATAAAACTTACCGATAACCGATAATACTTACCCATAAATACTATGTAGTAATTAGTATTTCTAGTAATATTATTATTATTCATAATTATATAATGACTAAATTAAACAAGTAATATATATTAAATAATAATTAATTATTTAATTATATAATTATATTATATAATTTATATTTTATATTTAACACAATTGTACATAAATATTAAATAACAAAGTTAAAAATTTAAAATACTTAAAATGAACACTTTTATTTTTTGTTGGTTGCTTATAAGTTATAACCAGGGCTGTGAATTTAATGCACTAAAAAACCTTAAAAAATGCATTAAAAATGTCAAAAAAATGCAATGAAATATGCACTTAAAATGAAAAAAAAAAGAAATATAAAATGATAAAAATGATAGTATAAAATTAATTTTAAATGGTTTTTAATTTATTTTTATATTTATATTAATACTAGCTGATCCCGTGCACTTCGTCGTCCGTTAAATGTATCAACTCAATATGACTCAACCTTTGTTCAATTCGTTATTCAATATTTGGTGTATGGTGTTCAAAATTTATCTTATCTTTTCCGTTGCCCGGAATAAAAATTCTGAATCGCAGCAGTACATTATCAGGTAGGCAATCTACCTTCGGTACCTAGATGCTGTTTGTACGGAAGTGTGTGATTTAACTCTAAAGTATCAAAGTTATACCAAGTTTATTTTGATATAATGAGGTGTATTAATATAACAAATTTTGTTGCTCGTAAAAAATCGCAACTCTTAAAAAAATTATGATTGTTGAACTCCTTTTGGGTGTAACTTGCTGCGGTAAGTGCAACTCAGCCACCCTGGTAGGCAATGTTCAATAATTCGATTTGATGCAAGCTTGTACCTAATCTGCACGAATGGCCAATGGCAATCAATAAATAAATGCTAATTTCTACTGTAGACTACAACCAATGGCAACTATTAATAAATAAAAATAAAATTTCCAATTTCCATCGTGAATCTCAATGTCCCTGTTTGAGCACCTATTTAAAATGCGAATTTTGTCAAATCCTTTCTTATTGCACGGTGAAAATATGAGAAGAACCTCTATTCCAAATATCAAGTCCGTACATTGAGTAGTTTTTGAGATACAGCGATCACTGAGTCAGTGGTATTTTGATTTTATATGTATAGATAACTAATTATTGACCAACATTATCGGACTTTATTTATGCCTAAAACCTGCTCCGTGATATCCTCTTTCATTTAAAAAAAACTGCATGACAATTGGATAAGAAGTTTCGAAGCCAAACCTTAACAAAGATTTTCTCTTTTGCTTGTAATCAGTTTTATGTATATAGATTAGGTACACAATATTAAACATTAGTAAAAAAAAGTGTTTATTTATTAAAAAAAAAATAGTAAAAATGTTGATTGTTAAAGTAATAAAACAAACTTAATTATTAAGATATTTATTTCCGTTTACCTTATTCATCTTTAGTACATAGAATTTACTGTTGCATTGGACAACAAGTGCTCGTTCGATGTTCTCAAATAAAAATGACTGCCTATTGTCTGTCAACAAATTTTTAAATGTCGAAAAACTCCTTTCAACATCTACAGATGTTGAGGTCATCTGGAAGAGACGTTCTGGACAGTTCAGTTCCCTCAAGAATTTTCGATAGTAGTATAAAATAGACAATTCAAAAAAACAATGGAGCTGATCCGCTGATCAATGCTGAACCGCTGATCCCTGCTGATCAGCTGATCCTTGCTGATCCGCTGATCCCTGCTGAGCCCGCCGCCCGGTCGCGCACGTGCGCGAGATATATATTATCACTTGTCATTATTACCGTTATCACTCATCATTATTACCGTTATCACTTATCACTTATCATTATTACCGTTATCAGTTATCACCACGATTTAAGATAGACTGGTTAGCGTCTACGAAAAAAAGTGGAATGAGAAAGCGCTTACAAAAACTTACTGGCACATAACGCGATCTAGCGGTAATATTCATAATCTATAGTATATTATTGTTTTAATAATAATTCCTTTCTGAACGGAATAAGCTCCACGGTTTTTTTATTTCACAAAATCGCTTTTTAATTTTTAATTATCAAATAAACCTTGATTAGTTGATTATTATTTAGATTAAACAGTCCTAATGACTAGTTGAATGTCGAATGACATTAATTTAAACAGTATTAAATGATTGAGTTATAGATTTAATATTTAAAGTGTATATATTATATTTAAATTTAAATTTTTAAAATGTCTAGACATAACTATTGTGGTATTCGTTTATTTATTAGAAATAAACAATCTTTACCTACAAGTAATGTACAATAAGCTTATGTGCTGAGAGAAGACAGGACGTGGACAATTGAATAAGGAACCGCCCACTGGCAGTACAGTTGTGCATTGGAGAGTCGTCGAAGAGCTAGGTTTTGGAATACTTGTATTTTATTGGTATTGGATTTTTTTGCTGAACCCCAGAGCTGTATGCCATAAGTCCAAATAGGTTTCAGGAGGGTTTTGTGAATTAGAAGTTTAACTTTTAGATTGGTATTATTATTTCTTGATATTAGAGGATTAATTAATTAAATATATTTTTAAGATTTCAGTATTTCACAAGTATTATTATTATTATAAATTCTTAATCACTTACTTATCCAACTAATTTAAATTGCATATGTCATGTTTATTCTTTTTGTATTAGTTGTAATTTACTATTTAAGTATCTAATTAAATTAATATAATATATAATGAATTTATTTGGTTGATTTATTTTAAAAAAGATTTCCTATAAAAATGTGTTGTAAATATGTACCTAGTTAGTATGTAATAAAATTAAACAACGTTAATATTGTAGTTCGTAGAATAGCAAATGGTTGACAATGTGCAAAGACCTAAAGTGGAAGAGACACTCAGTGAATAATATTGAGGTTTGAGATACCTAGAGAGATTAAAAATAAGTTAACAATAGTCATAATTAAAATCATTGCAAAATAAAATTACTGTTTTAGCACGATTTAGTAAAACTTATAGGCGTCAACGCTAGATGGCACTTACTGTCAGTCAGTTTATGTTAGTACATTGCATAGACACTTAACATACGTCGATGCGCAACCTGTCTATCTTAAACC